TCTTGTGAAATAGGTCTGATGGTGACATACTTCCTCATCTTTGCATGCCCGGGAAAGTTTTTCATTTCTCTGTCATTTCTGAAGAACAACTTTGCTGAGTATCATATCGTATGCTCGGATGTTTTTCTTTTTTTTCATTACTTTATTATTCCACTCTTTTCTTATCTTTAGTATTCCCTTTGAGAAATATAATTTGATTGTAGCACTATTCGTAATAGCAAAAACATGGAATCAACTTAGGTGCCCATCAATGGTGGATCAGATAAAGAAATACGGTATATATACACCATGGAATACTACACAGTCATACAAAATAAATAAAATTCTGTCTTTGCAGCAACATGGATGTAGTGGGAGGCCATTATCTTAAGTGGATTAATGCAGGAAAAGAAAACTATATACCACATATTCTCAGTTATAGAGGGGAGCTAAATGTCAGATACTCATGGACATAAAGATGGAAATAATAGACACTGAAGACGACTAGAGGAGAGAAGGAGGAAGGAAAGGGGACAAAGGTTAAAAAACTAAATGTTGGGTATTGTGCTCAGTATCAGAGCGAAAGGAAAATTCATACCCAAGCTTCAGCATCATGCAATATACCCAGGTAACAAACTTGCACACTTGCCCCTGAATGTAAAATAAAAGTTGAAAAAGGAAAAAAAAAAAAAAGGCTGCTGGCCGGGCGCGGTGGCTCACGCCTATAATCCCAGCACTTTGGGAGGCCGAGGCGGGTCAATCACAAGGTCAAGAGCTCGAGACCATCCTGGTCAACATGGTGAAATCCCGTTTCTACTGAAAATACAAAAATTAGCTGGGCTTGGTGGCACATGCTTGTAGTCCCAGCTACTCAGGAGGCTGAGGCAGGAGAAGTGCTTGAACCCAGGAGGCGGAGGTTGCGGCATTGCACTCTAGCCTGGGTAACAAGAGTGAAACTCCATCTCAAAAAAAAAAAAAAAAAAAAAGAAAAAGTCTGCTGTGAAGTGTATTGGAACTTTTTTTGCATTTTATTTGCTTCTTTTCTTTTGCTGCTTCAGGATCATTTCTTTGATCTTTCACAGTTTGATTGTTACATGTTTAGTCTTTTTTGAATTGAATCTGATTGGTGACTGTTGACCATCCTGTACTTTGACATATGTATATATTCTTCAATATACTCTTCATATTTGGAAAGTTTTCTGTTATTACTTTTTAAATAAGCTTTCTTTACTTTTCCATTTATCTTTCTTAACTTCTCTTGAATGCCAGTAAATTGTCCCTTTGCTCACTTAATACTATTCCACACATCCCATAAGTTTCCTTTGTTCTATTTTATTCTTTTTTCTTTTTTCCTTTTCTGAATATATATTGTCAAATAACCTGTATTCAAGCTCACAGATTATTCCTTCTGCTTGATCCTTTCTGGTGTTAATGCACTCTATTGCACTTTTCATTTTATTCATTATATTTTTCAACTCCCATATTAACATTAGGTATTTTGTTATCATTTTTGCCCTTTATTACATCTCTCTTTCTGGTCACTTACTTTTTTCATCATTTAATTTCATTATTTATCTGTATTTTATTGAAGTTCTTTGAGCTTCCTTAGAATAGCCATTTTAAATTCTTTGTCAGGCAGGTCATACATCTCCATGTCTTTGGGGCCAATCAAGGGTATCTTATTTTGTTCATTTGGTACTTTATTTTGTTCATTTGGTGTCACCAGTTTTCCCCAATTGTTCTTGATCCTTGTGATTGTGCATTGATGCCTGCATATTGAAGAAGTAGGTGCTTATTGAATTGAGGTAGATACTTAAATGTAGATATTGAATTGAAGATAGGTACTTATTCCAGTTTGGCTTTGTCTGAGAATGTCCCTCAATTCTGTCCACAAATTCTAGGCAGATCATCTTTTCTGGGTTTGCAAGCCTGTGACTCTTTCAGTCATTGCAGCACAAGGAGGTGTCATAAACCCAGGACCACCATGGCCAGTTCTGCACCAGTTTGTAACCTTTGGCTGCAGAGGCTGGCACAATGATGGACTGTATTCCAAACTCCTCCTCACTGATACCTGCCTATCTCTGATGGTTATTCATAATCCAAGGTTGCTGTAGTTGGCTGCCAGTGATGCAAGCAAGAACACAAGTTCACCACACAGAAACTGTGTGTTCCTCTCTGCTGCTGGGGCGGGTCTAGCTGCTTAGGTCACAGATACTCACCCAAAGTCAGGGTCTATGGGTATTCTCTCAGTGCTAAATTTTACTATTATAACACTAGTGTTGGGTTCTATGAAAAAGTCCAAGCCTTACTTCCTTCCCTTCCTCCCAAAAGAAAGTAGCTCTCTCAGCACTGTGCTGCCTGTGGTTGGGTTAGGGGTAATGCAGGAAACAAAATTGTCTTTTATATCTTCTTCAATGTGTATTTTAAATTATGATGCTATAATCAATTCTGTAATATCTCACCTGGCCTCCTTAGCTTTTGAGAAAATATTATCATGTGTGAATAATTATTAAATTTGATTTTTGTAATGTTTATAATTTGATGGGTATAATCTCTGGGGAATCCTACTCTACCAGGTTTTTCTACCTATTCTCTAAAAACAACTATATTTGAATCTTTTCTAAGTTGTAAAGTGATTTCCCATAGAATTCAGCAAAATACATTTAAATCTTCCTGTTTTCTTCTTTTCCTGTGAGTATAAAACACTCTGATTTTTGTGCCAATTTTGTGCATTTTAATATTTTGCATATTTTTCATTTTTCCAACAGGACAAATCATTTGGTCACTTAATCTTTTCCCTTTATAATGCCACATCTAAGATGTATGCGTCACCATACCATTTTTATGCTTTCCAAATCACTGATTTCTGATTTCAACTTTATCAATACATTTCTTTACTATTTGGAAATGCTTTTTTCCCACATTTCATTGAATTCAATTTTAATATGAATATAATAATCATGTTATGCTTGGATTGCATTTTCCTGGTTTGTTTTTGCAAATATTGTGACCCCCTTTTTTTTATCTGTATCTTTTGGACACTAGATAAGATGAAAGTTTGGGTCTTGATCCATAAGTAAGACTGACATTTCAGACTCTATTTTCTATCAGTAAGCTTGGAACAGAACAGTTCCTGGTATTTTGTTTTTCTTTTTTTTTTTAATTGTACTTTAAGTTCTGAGGTACATGTGCAGATCTTGCAGGATTGTTGCATAGGTACACACATGCCATGGTGGTTCACTGCCTCCATCCGTCTGTCGCCTACATCAGGCGTTTCTCCCAATGTTATCCTTCCCCAACCTCCCCAACTCCCGCTGTCCCTTCCCTAGCCCCCCATCCCCCAACAGACCCCAGTGTGTGATGTTCTCCTCCCTGTGCCCATATGTTCTTATTGTTCAACACCTGCCTATGAGTGAGAACATGCGGTATTTGCTTTTCTGTTTTGCGTCAGTTTACTGAGAATTATGGTTTCCAGATTTGGAAGCATGAGAAAGACTACAGTGGTTAGCAGACACTAATACCTTTGACAAAATGCCATTGACATTTTGTTGCCAGGGTAATCAATTTTAGTTCAGGACAACATCACCCTACTCTGTTGAGTTTCTGCAACAAGGAACTACTTACTGCCTTTGAGGCAAACAGATAAATTTGGTAAGATCTCAGAGTGGCTCATGGAGAAGCCATGCAGCTCACATGATTTATGTCTGATAGCATAGCACTTTTTTCCGTGGTTGGCCTTTCCTTTTCCCTCTTCCATAGAGCATCGCCTACAGAAAGGTTAATATTTTAATATAGAATAATTGAAAATAAATTTTCAAGCTATCCTTTCCCCAAAACTACCCTCTAAGTTGTTCTGAATGTGCACAGGGACACTGTTGGGATGCTTTCTTCTTCTCCTGTGGTCTGCTCATAACAAAGTCTTTATGACTCAAAGTAAAGAAAGTTTATTTGGACTCCTCAGGATGTTGTCACAACTGGAAAAATCTATGCTTCTACCAATGGTGGGAATTTTGGCTTCATGTCCATTCATAATACGTTATTTAATTCACTGATGGTGGCAAATATTTCTCACAGCCTGTTGGGGGATATAGCTGTTTACTACTGAAGTAGAAACTTTTTTTAATTAAAAAAATATCTTCTGCTGTTTACATAGATTTCATGAAGAGATCCCAATTTAGAAACCAGCATTTTTACTCTTTTTCTAACAGTTGTTCCTATCACCATGAAAACATGTTACAATTCTCTCATCCTTTGAAAATGTATCTGGAGCTTACAGCCTCAGCTGTCATTCATTCCACCATGAATTCAGACTTCCTAAGAAGGTTACAGCTGGTCTCTATCCTTCAACTGAAAACCCAACACAATTGTATTTCTCTCTCATTAACGTTACTAGCAACAACTAAGAAAAACTTTGGACACATGTCAGTCTTCATTGTGACGAACTGACAGATATATTTAACATTGGTATGCCCCATTTACTTGTTTAAAATTTCTTTCTTTGGATTCCATAATGTTTCATTATATACAATGTCATTCAACATCTATGATTGCTCATTCTTAGGTAAAATAGAATGTGTCTCAACATCATTTTTAAAACAAAAAAAAGGATGAAGTTCTATTTAAAATAGAGTATTTAAATTACTATACCATAAAGGGAAACTCACATTTAGAAGATAAAGGCGTTCTCAGAAACCAATTACTTTGTAACCTGAAGTTAGTCTCTTCGCTACTTTTGTCTTTTGTCTATACTTCCATAAAATGCAAGCGATCTGGCATGATAATCTACAAGGACTCATTAAAAATTTGCTGTGGCTTCCAGAAGAAAGAAAATGCCTTTGGCATCATGTCGCTGGGGACATTGACTATCTCATACTCAGCAGGGGTGAGGAAGTTTCTGTTTACTGATAAGCTAAGAAAAGGCAATGGTTTTCGTAATTTAAGCTCCACCTGTGGCACATGCACTCAAGGAAAATATAAATGACAAGGTCCACCCGACTCTCAGACAAGGTTTTCCAAGCAAGATGAAGCCCATCATCTTCTTCGTGTTTTCCCTGCTCCTCATCCTGGAGAAGCAAGCAGCTGTGATGGGACAAAAAGGTGAGTGGAGAGGGTAAGCCTTGGGGAAAGCTGCTCAGGCAGAATGGCCTCTAAGGGTATTCAGGGTGCAAACAGTAACCTGTCCAGGCACAGATTCTTCTCGTTGAAGAGAATTGATTTTCTCCATCCAAAGCTTCAGGCTTTCTAGAAACATCAGTAGTTTGCTGGGAAAAGGTGGGACGTAGGCATTGCAAGGGAGCTTTGGAGATAATGAATGCATACATTTCTATTATCAATTACCAGGTGGACCAAAAGGCCGATTACCAGGTGAATCTTCCCAATTTCCACATGGACAAAACGGCCTGCAGTATTTTGCACGAAAAGGCAAACAGCATGCTGAATCCAAAGGCGGTGTTTCTACTGAACACACATTTCATGTAGCCGCCCCTGATCGTGACCAGACCCGAAAAAGTAAGCAATATGACTTGAATGCCCAAAATAAAACGACAAAATCAGAAAAGCATCCAGGTGGACGTCAAGAACCATTCAATCATAAGCAAGAAGGCAGAGAGCATGGTAAATCAAAAGGTGATTTTCACGTGGTAGTTATACACCATAAAGGAGGCCACGCTCCTCGTGGGACAAAAAATCCTTCTCAAGATCGGGGAAATAGCACATCTGGAAAGGGAAAATCCAGTCAAGATTCAAACACAAAAGAAAGGCTACTGGCTCCTGGACTAGGTAAAGAACAAGATTCAGTCTCTGGTGCACAAAAAAATAGAACACAAGGTGGATCCCAAAGCAGTCCTGTTCTCAAAACTGAAGATCCAGTACGTAACAAAAAACCTGAGACTCTAAATTCTCTTCCAAATAAAGGGAGTTCCCCAAATGTGAATGAAACGAAACAGAAACATTCAAGTAAAGTGCAAACCCCACTCTGTTCTGCACAAGAAGCCAGACTCCAACATGGATCCAAAGACGTTTTTTCTAAGAATCAAAACCAGACAAGAAATCCCAATCGAGATCAAGAGCGTGGCCCAAAAGCACATAACAGGTCCTGCCGATGTTCAAGTGCAGAAGAAAGACCACTTAATCATGGAGAAAAGGGCATACAGAAAGATGCATCCAAAGGCAGTACTTCTAACCAAACTGCAGATAAAATACATGACAAGCCTCCAAAACAGGTAACAACTCCTAGTCAAGGAGATGGCCATAGGGCAAATAAAACGTCATTCCCATCTTCAGCTGCAGAAGAAAGACGACCTAACCATGGAGAAAAGGACATACAGAAAGGTGTATCCAAAGTTAGTACTTCTAACAAAACTGAAGATAAAATAGTTGCCAAGCCTCGAAAACAGATAACAACTCCTAGTCAAGATCAACGGTCTGGTCAAGACCCAAAAGGAAAATCTGGCCAATCTGCAGATAAAGAAAAAGACCTACTCAGTCATGACCAAAAAGGCACACACGAACGCGGATCTCATGGGGGATTGAATATTGTAATAGTACAGCATGAAGCTGACAATGATCATGATTTGACACAACGTCATGACAGCAACCCAAACTCAATATTTACATAAAGCTACCATTCAGTAACCAGGTGAAAAGATGGCCCAATATCAAGGTACAATTTTTTTTTTTAAGCAAATCAGGGCAATACCTCTCCCAATGTTTAGAACTATTAGGAACTCTCCAGGACTTTTGTGGGATTGATAACCATTGTTCACACCAAGAGAAGTGCTGTATTACAAGCGGTAGGAAGATGAGCCTCACCATTCCCAGGTGAGGAGAGGATCTGGTAGTGGCAGACAAGGATGCCCGGCCTGTCATGAGGTCCTAGAATTCCTATCCTTAGTTGAGTATTCGTCAGTAATATTTTTATACACGCCTACCTTGAATAGGTACTGGCTACATATGCATATTTATAAGTTTATGGCATATTCTCGTCAATTCTTAGACTTTAGGTTAGTAAGCCTGAATTTCTTTCCTATATACCATGAAGTATGACAGCAGTTAATATTTTCTTTCTGCACACCAATAAATGTTCTTGCATCCCTGTTCGGGTTCATCTATGTTCCTTCGGAGACCACAAGCCCAAAGACTAGCAGTCCTCCCTCTCAGAATACAGGAAAGAGATATGTAGAAAGATCCCTGTTCATGTTGTGAAAGAGGAGATGGAAAAGGAGACACAAGAGATGGTGAGGGATCTCATGGGCCAATTGGATGTTTGCAATGTCAGGAGAGGAAAACTGAAGCCCTAAGAGGGGTAATGGTGCTTCCCTGTCTCTTTGCAATAAGTAACACTGCACTTGAAGAGAGGGCAAGCAGCAGAAACAATGGCCCCAGCTGGCAGCTAGTGGCCTGGCATCCTAGTAATAGGAGGCTGGCAGATTTGGAGCTGAAGGGGACAGGGGGTGCAGCTACCATCCTCACCCTTCACTTCTTACTACCCTAACCTCACTGATTCTCTTCTTTCTCTCTAGGTGTCACTTGACCTCAGTAAATCCTGTGACGTTTCTGGGATGCAGACTCCTGTGTGGTTTCAGATTCTTGATCATGCTTCCTTGAATTAGGCTTCCTAAACCTGAAGCCCCTTCAAATTTCCAATAAAGAGATCATTTTCTGCTTCATCTGCTTTTGACTCCTGTGTTCTCTGGATTCCTAGTGGCTCAAGGGGTTGAGGGGGCATTTCTAATATAAATGGTTTTGAAAGAAAACAAAGGGATATTTTTGAAGCATTAGGGAGACTAGTAATCAAAGCCACGTTTCTAGCTGTATTGATAGAAACCCAACGCTAAAAGCAGGGTGCTGTTACTCTACCAGTCACATGCCTACCACCTGAGGCAAACCCTAAAGGCTCTCATGATCCTGGTTCTAAGACCCCAGGAACTAACAATATCCCAGAAAGACAAGAGAAAATGTATTGCAACAGGCCCTGGGAAAGTCCCTGATCTGCTGATGGCCAATTCCACAGTAGCACATCCCTTCACTTAGCTTAAGAATGTCCTACTCCTACAGCATCTAAGATGCAATTACACCAAAGGTGGTATGTTAAATCTCCACCACTCTGGCAAGGGCAAGTGGGTTAAAATTTGCTGGTGGATGGAAAGACAGACCAGAGGAGCAGCCAAAGGAACCTTGAGAGAGGTGGTGTCTTCATAATGGAAATTCTGCTACCGATACTGCGTTTTTCCCATCTATTTCAAAAAAGTTTCTAGAGAAAGCCAAACCTCCAGAAGAGGCCAACATAGAGGAGTAAGAAAATCGCTAGCCTAAGAATAAGAGATTTGGATTCTAGTTCCAACCCTGCACATGAGAAACTGATACAACAATCTTCATAGTACATGCTGACTCAATACTGTAGCGGTTGAAAGAATGAAAGAAGGAAGGAAGAAAGGAAAGAAAGAAAGAAAAAGAAAGAAAGAGAAAGAAAGAAAGAGAGAGAAACAAAGAAAAAGAGAGAAAAAGGAAAGGAAAGGAAAGGGAAGGAATCTGCTGAATAGATTTTCTCTGCTGTGTTTGAACAGAAATACATTAAACAGTTTTCCTTGACATGTGGCTGATTGCATGGGGGAGGGAACATAAATTGACATTCAAAAAAGCCAGAGTCATAAATGCTGTGTGCTGTGGTACTATTAGCAGGAACTTTGATTCCTACCACTTGCATAGTCTTGGGTAGCATGATCTCTGATACTGAACTCCTGCTTCTTTGAAGGGATGATAATAACCATCTCATAAGAAAAGGAAAGGAAAGGGAATGAAAGGGGGAGAGAGGGAAGAAAGGAAGGAAGGAAGGAAGGAAGGAAGGAAGGAAGGAAGGAAGGAAGGAAGGAAGGAAGGAAGGAAGGAAGGTCCTAAAGATGGTGTCTAATGAGGTCCATTGTTACAATAAATTTGGTAGGGCCAGAATAGGTCAGATGGGCATGAATAGTTCAGAACAACACAGGCCTACTCAGAGCAGAGATTGGCATTGCTGCCCACCCTCAAAGCCATGGGTCATATAGTCCCAGGGTGGGGTTAGCCTGGACCCCACCTACCAAAAACCAAGGAGCCATAAGGGTATTTAAGAGTCATTGACGTCTTCCAGGGGAAGTGAATCATTCCCTAAGCCATCCAACGGCTTGCGAGTCAGTGGCTCAGCTTCATCAAAAGAGCCAAAAGAATAGGTGTAGCTATGTTTGTCCATCACCACAGCTAGGCAGTGGGGTGTGTATTATGAAGTCATAAAATCTACCAAATGTGTCATTGCTAAGAATTAGTATAGATCAGCCGAGAAATATGTATGTGGCTGTGAGTCTTCAGGTACCCATCTCCACTTCTCACACACATGTAGCACACAATATACAGTTGAATGGCCCCTGTGCTACAACAGCTTGGTGAAGAAAAAATTGTAGAGAACTAGCAATTGCTTATCATAAATTCTTCTTTTAGTTCTACTTCTTTGGCTGTATGACTCCAGCAAACAATTTATTGTTTTGTTTGCCTTGTATGTACAATAAAAGTACTGTTTCCAGATGGAAGAGAAAGAAAGAAGGAAGGAAGGAAGGAAAGAAAGAAAGAAAAAAGAAGGAAGGAGAAGAAAGAAGGAAAGAAAGAAAAGAAAGGAAGGAAGGAAGGAAGGAAGGAAAGAGAGAGAGAAAGAAGATCTTCTCTATCAGGTCTTAATGTCTTAATGGCCTGTAGGTGTGTGATTAGAGACTTTGTTATAGTGGAATGAGAACTCTGTCTCTCTTCACTGCTACCTTCCCAAGAGCATAGAGACCTTGTATTCAGCCACCTGCTTTATTTTCCAAGCCCAGCAGTTAGAGAGGAAAGGTTATGATGGGCTTAGGAGCCCAGCATCAGGAAAGCTAGAATTACCTGCTACAGTCTGCTGAACAGATTCTCTCCTCTATGTTTGGACAGAAATACATTAAACAGTTTTCCCTGACATGTTGCTGATTGCATGGGGGAAGGGAACATAAATTGACATGCAAACAAGCAAAAGAGCCAGAGTTATAAATGCTGTGTGCAGTGGTATAATTAGCATGAACTTTGGTTCCTATCACTCGCATAGTCTTGGGCAGCAGGTCTCTGATACTGACCTCCTGCCTCTTAATGAGGGGATAATAATAACCATCTCATAAAGATCCTTAGGTATGTTGAGTGAGATGATCACAGCCCAAATGCTCAATCAAAAGTGCCAGAATGACAACAAATTTGGAAATAATAATAATAAGACAATCTTTTATTATGTGTTCTTTGAAATGGAGGTAAAATACATACAAAGAAATGCACAGATCTTATATACCTGTTTGGATGAGACTGACAAACACATACATGTGGTTGCACGACATATAGATGAGCATATGGTACATTCATCTTGTCTTAGGCCCCTTTCAAATTTGCTGCAAGCTCTTCAGGGGCAAATGTTTACTGACTTAGAGAAACTCATAACTTGCTTGTTTTTAATCCTTACATAATGAAATCATATAATAACATTACCTTTTGTGTCTGGCCATTATTCAATGTTTGAGATTCATTGTTTCTGTATGTTTCAGCAGTTCATTCTTTTTATAGTCAAATAACATTGCATTGTTTGAGTCTCAGTATTTGTTCTTCCATTTATCTGCTGATAGATGAGCATTTGGTGTTCTCAGTTGAGCAATTGCAAATTAAGATGTCACATACATCCCAGTACAAGGCACAATAACATATATTTTTAATTATCCGTGATAAATACCTAGGAGTGAAATTTTCTCCCAGTGTGTGGCTTGAATTTTTTTTTTTTTTTTCTAATCATAGTGTATTCAGAAGACTAGAAGTTTTGAAGTGTGATGATATCAAATATACCTATTTTCCCTTTTAAATTGAATATTATTGTGTCTAAGAAGTTTTGCCTTCTCCAAGGCTGCAAAAATGTTCTGTCTGTGATGGCCTTCCCCAGAAGCTGAATAGGTTTAGCATCTATGTTAAGGTTTATTGTTCAAATTGATTAATATTTGCATTCCATGCAAGGTATAGATTAAGGTTCCTTTCTTCCAAGATGTGCTTGTTTTTATTAATGATTAATAATGCTGCCATGGAAATTTATCTACAAATTTTTATGTGAATACTTTTCAGTTCGCTTGGGTATAATCATGCAGTGGAATTTTTGAGTCACATGGCAACATTATTTAACTCTAGAAGAAGTTGACACACTATTTTCTACAATGACTCTACCATTTTATAGTCCCACCAGCAATGTATGAATGTTGCTATTTCTCCACATCCTCATCAACAATTGTTATTGCATGTTTTTTAAGATTATAGTTACTGTAAAAGCTGTGAAGTGGTATCATGTTTTGGTTTTGATTTGTACTTTCCTGATGACTAATGATATCACACAGCAGCAAATCACACATATCATTTCATTTCTCTTCTTTCTTTCTTTCTTTCTTTCTTTCTCTCTCTCTCTCTCTCTCTTTCTTTCTTTCTTTCTTTCTTTCTTTCTTTCTTTCTTTCTTTCTTTCTTTTTCTTTCTTTCTTTCTTTTTTCTTCCTTCCTTTCCTTTCTTCCTCCCTCCCTCCCTCCCTCCTTTCTTTCTT